ACTTTTGCGAGTTCTGGTGGTGTAGTGCCTAAGGCATTTGACTGCTAACCAGAAGGCTGGCGGTTCAAACCCACCAGCCACTCTTTGGAAGGAAGATTGGGCAATCTGCTTCCCTAGAGATACCACCTCGGAAACCCAAGGAGGGGTCGCTATGAGTCAAATTGACTCAACAGTAGTGAGTTTGGTTTTTCTGGAGTTTAGATCCAGAATCAGGATCTAAATCCATAAAGCATTTTAAATAGGCATGTATGTATATACACACACGTACACAGATACACACACATGCAGATAGGATTTGAAGTGGAGTAAGTACTAAATGTTTAAAAGTAAAAATGTTATCTTTTATTGTAGTAAAGGGAACTTTCTTCTGCTGCTTGCTTGTCTGTATTTTCTCATTTTTCAAAGATGATTGCGTAATACTTATGTAATGGATGGGAAGTGGGTTGGCACACTGACCTAAGCCAATTTATTTATGCAATGCTCTCTGGTTCTTTTAGCAGACAATGGTTGCCACGGAAATATTTGAAGTAGATATGGATTAACTGCTCCCCCACAGTCTCACAGTCATTTTATCATGAAAGCAAGTCTTGTATCAAAATCAGCCACACAGACAGACACTAAACAAGTATTCATGAACAGACAGGCATGAGGCAGCCCACACAGTGGGCCCTGGAAGCTTGATGAAGTCCCAGCTCTCTGCGCATTTAGGTGCTGCAGCTACTGCCTGAATGAGAGGTTCATGGAGGAAGGCAGGAGAACATTCTAGATCAGTGGGTCTCAAACTTGAGTGAGCATCAGGATCACCCGAAGGGCTTGTTAAAGTCCAGATCATTGTGCCCCATCCCAGAGTTTGGGATTCAGTTCAAGAGGGCACCATCTTTGAGAACTAAGGAGGACTTTAGTATGGTGTTTGATAACTGGAAACAAACAATTAGCATTCCCAAGAGTTAGAGAGTTAGTCTAGGATGCCATCCCTCAGGGTACACACTACAGGATTCTAGATTTTTATATTCAAAAGCAGGAAGGTGGGATGGTCTTGAAAAGATTTCAGAGGAAACTATTAATTTCACCAATTAAATCCATTTCTCATGATCATTATGCTAATTATCAAAGGCTGTGGCATCAACTGAGCTTTGAATGACTGAAGTATGGATAGCTGGAGGGTGCCCTTACCCCTATAGTGCTAGCTGACCACCCCCATAGTATTAGTTCCTAAATAGGACAGGCTAAAACTTAATAGTGCCTAAGGCATTTGACTGCTAACCAGAAGGCTGGTGGTTCAAACCTACCAGCCACTCCTCAGAAGGAAGACTGGGCAATCTACTTTCATAGAGATAACTGCCTCAGAAAGTCAAGGAGGGGTCACTATGAGTCTGAATAGACTTGACAGCAGTGAGTTAGTGAGTGAGAACTTAATATGATATCAGTTAAATTAGTACAGACACGTATCACATTGTCCACGCCAAATATCTTAGATTACGTTACAGACAACGTTAATGGGGAAGAAATGTTGATTAACCAGTCAACGGAGTTTTTTTGATCCCACAGACTGAGCCGGAAATCATAGAGGAAACCAACATTGACAGAGTTAACGAGCCCCGGGGCTACACCAGGGCACGGCAGGTGAAAGGCCACTCGGAGACGTCCACACTGAGCTCCCAGCCCTCCATCGATGAGGTCAGACAGCAGATGCACATGCTTCTGGAAGAGGCCTTCAGCCTGGCATCTGCAGGCCACGGAGGCCAGAGCCGACACCAGGAGGCCTACGGCTCAGCACAGCACCTGCCCTACTCGGAGGTGGTGACCAGCGCTCCTGGGACCATGACGCGGCCCAGGGCTGGGGTACAGTGGGTGCCAACTTACCGCCCAGAAATGTACCAGTACAGTCTGCCCCGACCCGTAAGTCACGTGTCCAACCCCACCCTGTGTGTCCTGACAGGGTCTCAGGGCAGGGACCACTAAAGATAAGCCACCTTGGAGTGGGATTTGGAGATGAGTTTTGCTGGGTTCTCATCATGTCCTCCATCCATGATCCAAAGGCCTTTCCCTTTTAATACTGTGGGCCTGTGCTCTCACGCGCAATCAAAACCATCAGCATCATGTATTTTATTAAAATGAGGCCACCTCAAATGGAAAAGAACTGAAAAATAACACAATAGAGAGAGAGGTCATCAAAACCAGAACAACATTAAAGGCAATTCTTTTGTTGTTAAGGTTTCCTTTTTTGCCAACAACACGTGTGGTCTCTATTTTCATGAAAGGAGAAAGTAGGTGACAATACACAGTAGAAATGAAGCTTCTTAACCCAAGCTCTTACAGAGCCCCTCTTGCTATAACATGGAAATCAATGGAAAAGGTGGCAATTTAGAATGATAGCTATGATTACTTTTTTGCCTTCTAAAAAGGCAACGCTTCGAGCTCTGCCAGAGGATAATTGGAAGCCTAATTGGAAGCCAGTGGTTTTAAATGCACTGAGCTGGGCTGATGGCATTTACATCTTGAGAAAGGTTACCGCTGGCTGCTTGGGATTTCTGCACTGCAGTTCGGGAGACTCTTGATCATATTTTACCCCTTGAATCTGTGAAGGCATCGGACTCAACACCTAATGATCAATCCAGTTTTGCTATCAGGCCTAATGGATCTGTGCCAAATAGAATGAAAATATCCCATAGCCTTCATGTTTGTGTCAGAGTATGGGATTCTGTGAAAGGCAGCAGGGCTAAAACATCTTCTTCACTAGAGGCTTTCCAGATGGAACTGAGGTAATAGTAATAGCAACAGATGCCGTCTATATAGCCAGGCACTAGACTAAATGCTATATAGACTGTATCTCTTCTAATCTAAGCACCACACTCATGAGGTTAACATCATTATCCCCGTGTACTCAAATGAGGAGTTCCTGGGTGCTGCAGATGGTTAAGGGCTCAGCTACTGACCAACAGCTTGGCAGCTTGGATCTACTCAGTAGCACCTTAGAGGAAGGGCCTAGTAGTCTAGTCCCTAGAGATCCCAGCCATTGAAAACCCCACAAAACACAGACCTACCCTGAAACATGTGAGGTCGCCATGGGTCAGAACTGACCCAACAGCAACTGTGTGGATTATTTTAGTTTGGACTCAATAAGGAAACTGAAGCGTAGAACAGTAATTTGCTCAAGGTTGTATAGCTATAAATGGCAGGACTGAGATTTGAACCTAGAGCTGTCCGACTCATAGCCCACACTCTTTCTACCACCTGGTCATGTGGCCAAGGGGAGCCATAGGGACATCCCCCAGCCTCTGATGAAAACTCGAATCTCTACAACTCCGGAGTATATTCCTCTCATAAGGAAGCTTGTCCAGTCTGAGGGAGTTTTGTCCATTCCTATCATTATACCTCATGTGGGGTAAGTTGGGAATTTTACAATTTTTTTTCCTCAGAAACAAAAAGAAGTTGTGTTGTTGTTGTTATGTGCCATCAGGTCGGATCTGATTCACAAAAAGAAGAGCCCTTCCTAAACCTTTGTTAATGGTAACATGCAGGTATATCAGGTGTAAGTTTGCATTCACCGTAACACTTGGGTTCAAGAAATGTTACATTTCTTCTATTTCTGCAAGTAAAAGTTGAATCTTCTCTGAGCTCCTATCTGGCCAAATGAGTGAAAAACTCAGTGCCACTTGTTCTTGAGTTCTCTCCACTTCTGGTTGTACAAAAGTCATTGGCAGTTTGATGAAGTTTAAAACAACAGACAAGGGTCTACACCATAACCGTTGATCTGTGCAGTGCCCAGTTCTCAGGGGCCCTTGAAGGTGGGTCACTCTACCAAACCTGGGCCAGACGGGGCATAAGGATCTTTACTTTTCGACTACCTCAAGAAATCCCTTTTGAAAACCAAGTGCCTGCATCTGGCAAATACTTACCCTCTAAGCTTGGAAAAGGAGCTCTGGTGGTTAAGGCATTCAGCTGCTAACCATAAAGGTTGGCGGCTCAAACCCACCAGCCACTCTGCAGGAGGAAGATGAGGCAGTCTGCTTCCATAAAGATTTACAGCCTATGGGGCAGTTCTATTCTGTTGTATAGGGTTGCTATGAGTTGGAATCAACTCAGTGGCAGTGGATTTGGTTTGGTTTTTGGTTTTTCTGTGTTTTCCTTCAGAAGCTTAATTTCAGTCAGTGTGGATCTCCCTCCCTACCTCTGAGTTAGGCTTATTTTCTGGGGATCTCCATAGTGCAAAGCATTGGTGGAAGTGGGAAGAAAGCTTCGGTATCTGGTCCCAGTTTATCCTTGTCTACCACTCTGATGGGTATCCCTGAGAAGTCCTTGTTCCCATTTAGTCTTCAGTTGTTCATCCAGACAGACCACAGTTATATCTTCCTCCTGCTTGCAGGCCACCTCCTGACCCTCCCACCCTTCCTTCTCATTCTCTGGAGCTCTCTCGCTCTTTCTCTGCTTCTCTCTCTGTCTCTATCTGGGAACCTGGTAACAGTTCTAAGCAATAGCTTCCTGTAGGATCCCTTTCAACAAAGCAGCCAGCAGGGGGCCAAATTCTAAATAAGAAGAGGCACCGAAATGCAAAAAGCCAGCAGGACTTTAACCCCACAGGAACCTGCCCAGTGGAGGTAGAAAGACACTGCGTAAGGCAATTCCCCCAGCCCATGAGCACATAGCACAGGCTATCTGTGCATTTTGTGTGGCCCCTGTGGCTGCCTCAAGGCCGTGAGGATACAGCCTGAAGAGGACTGTCTGATACCCTGTGCAGTCTTGCTTTGTACCTGGAAAACCCTTCCAGAGAAGGGAATCCCCTTGGTGCTTATCAGAAGTTCAGAACTTTAATTAATTCTTTTGTTGACCTGCTACAAGACAGACACAGGCATAGAAAGCCTTTTCTTGGCTGGGAGACTGTTGACTATGGAGTGAACCTTCCAAGAACCAGTGATAAAAATAGGCTGTCTGCCTCCTCTGCAGAATATTGTGAGAGACTGGAGAGAGAAGAGGAGCTACAAACTTACTGGTTTATTGAAAATCATGGAATGGAAAGGACATCCAGGGCAATGACTTTCTTTCTCTCTTTTCTTTTCTTTTATTTATTTTACTTGTGCTGTGGTGAAAACATACACAATAAGACATTCGCCAACATAACACTTCCATATTTACAGCTCAGGGACATTGATGACATTTTTCATGTTGTGTCACCATTATTGCTATCCTTTTCAAAAATATTCCAGCACCTATTAGCATAAACTCAGTACCCCCTAAACAAAGCTTCCCCTTTCCCCCTCCCTCCTACCCCTGGTAACCACTAATAATCTTTGCACTTGACTGCTAACCAGAAGGCTGGCGGTTCAAACCCACCAGCCACTCCTCGGAAGAAAGGTTGGGCAATCCTACTTCCGTAGTGATACTGCCTCGGAAACCCAAGGAGAGGTTGCTATGAGTCGGGGCCAACTCGACAGCACATAACAACAACAACAACAACATATAAATATGTGTGTATATGTGTGTGTGTGTGCGTGTGTGTTTATCTTTTGGGACCTTTGGTGGCGTAGTGCCTGAGGCATTTGACTGCTAACCAGAAGGCTGGTGGTTCAAACCCAACAGCCACTCCTCAGAAGGCAGATTGGTCAATCTACTTCCATAGTGATACCACCTTGGAAACCCAAGGAAGGGTCTCTATGAGCCAGATCCAACTCAACAGCAGTGTGTATGTATCTTTTATCTTTTTTTTTCAACCTATCTAGAAATTTTCCCTCCCCTCTCCTCCCATTCCAGCTAATGAACAGTTTCCTTCCATGTATAAACCTTTCCTTGACTTTTTACAATAATAGACTAATATAATATTTGTACTTTTGTGATTTACTTATTTCACTCAGTATAATGTCCTCCAAGTTCATCCATGTTATGCAGTATTTTGCAGATTCTACATTATTCTTTAGGGTTGCATAGTATTCCATTGTGTGCATGTACCACAGTTTATTTATCCATTCCTTGGTTGATGGGCACATAGGTTGTTTCCATTTCTCTGTTACTGTGAATAGTGCTGCAGTGAACATGGGTGTGCATATATCTATTCATGTCCTGCCTTTCATGTCCTGCCTCTCACTTCTTTAGGATATATACCTAGTAATGGGATTGCTGGATCAAGTGGTATTTCTATTTCCAACTTTTTAAGGAATTGCAGGGCATGACTTTCAAACTGCAAGATATTTTTTGTGTGTGTGTGGGGTGGGGGGGAGTCCCCAAGGGGCCATTATAAGTTTGGAGAAGAGCCAAATTTACCCAGGCACACTCATTGCCTCCAAACTTCAACCAGAGAAGCTCTGCTTTAATCTATTTATTTATATATTTATTATTTTATTGTGATTTGGGTAATAATTTACAGGGCAAACTCACTTTCCATACAGCAGTTCACATACACTTTGTCTCATGACATTGACTACAGTTTACCACAATGCAACAGCTCCCCTCCCACT